ACTAGTGTCAGAGTCTTTACAGCCATCCTCATACTTAGCAAGCATGCAGCGACAGTGGAGAGGAAAACTCCCTTTTAACAGGAAGAAACCTCCGGAGGTATTGGCGCTGTGCCACGCCTGAGCCTACGTAGGGGCAACGCTGTAAATACGCCACCGTGGACTGGATCCACGCGTGTGATGGTGGCGATACCACAGAACAGCTTCCTGTGCTGTCCTGCTGGGGAATTACGTTGCAACACTCCCCAGATGACGGAAACGTCCACGAGCGTCTGTCAGTAGGTGTGCGTCTCTCCCTTCAGGAGCACGTTCAGACTACACGGCGCAACTGGAAGAAACAAACTTTAACCACGGCATTAATCTGTGGAACAACCAAAGATCTGCATCCAGTTCGACCCCCAGGCTGCTCACACACTGTTCAGAGGTGAATGTGAGAACAGAAGGTGCTCAGAAGAAAAAGAAGGAAGTGCCTATGAAGATACAAAGCATGAGGCACTATTCAGGGGCCTGACGTGTGTCACCTGGTTTGATGGACAAGAGCCTGCCAGGCTGGAAACAGCACACCGAAGAATCTGGCTGGATTGCAAGGGAGCTAACTGACTCCGCCAGCAGATGCAGCTTCTCTGTCTTCCAGGAGGCGCTGATGACCTGCAGGGTGGTCTAGTTCACTGTCACAGCTAGCTGGAGGGAACACTGGTGATGGCGGTCAGAGAACTGCATACTTGCACATGTCAGAAAGCCAGGACAGGCTGTTGTCCAACAAGCAGACCCCTGGCTCCCAGAGGGGGAACGGGAAGGAAAACCTGACCTGGGAAAACTCCTGCACCAGTGATCAGAGCACAGGTGGAGGCCAGCGCTTCGGTTTGGCACCTTCACTCGTCATATACTCACTGGCGGTTGGAAACTGAGACGATATCAGGTCGGGGTGGCAGACCTGGGTAGCACCAAACCACCAGATTGTTTAATTGTGGCGAGGCAGGCTTCAGGGTGGTGAGACCCTTGGCTCGCTGCCCCCTTAATCAGGCCAGCCAGCTCTAGGAGGAGAGCAACTGGGAGGTGAGCTGGGGCGGTCCACAGGAAGCCACCTGCAGAGGCACATATGTGCTGCTGCCTGCTGGCAGCTCAGAGGCTTCAGTGGGACTACTGTTACTAGCATAGTTATAAACATGACCTGGGCGAGGGCGGGATCCTCTCATTTCCAGTCGCCATCAAAAGGGCTGTGATTTGTCCCGCAAGTAATCAGCTGGATGCTAGGAACCAAGACGGTGCTGGACTCAAGACAACTTTATTAGTCCCCGAGGGGCAACTCGAGACAGCGTTGTGAAGCAGCCGGCACGAAAATCTCTAACTTCTAAAAACACGTCCAATTTACACGTTTGTAAAACCCATAAAACCTAAATACTCATTCATGTCATGTCCTCACATGTGAATGACCAACGATGAGTAAACCTTTGGCTCACACACACACACACACACACGCACACACACACACGCACACACACGCACACACACACACACACGCACACACACACACGCACACACGCACACACACGCACACGCACACACACACACGCACACACGCACACACACACGCACACACACACACACACGCACACACACACACGCACACGCACACACACTCACGCACACACACACACACACACACACACACACACACACACACACGCACACACGCACACACACACACACACACACACACACACGCGCACACACACACACACACACACACACACACACACACACGCACACACACACACACACACACACACACACGCACACACACACACACACACACACACACACACACGCACACACACACACACACACACACACACACACACACGCACGCACACACACACACACACACACACACACACACACACACACACACACACACACACACACACACACACACACACACACACACACACACACACACACACGCACACACACACACACACACACACACACACGCACACACACACACACACACACACACACACACACGCGCACACACGCACACACACACACGCGCACACACACGCACACACACACACACACACGCACACACACACGCACACACACACACACACACACGCACGCACGCACACACGCACACACACGCACACACACACACACACACACGCACACACACACACACACACACACACACACACTGCTCTCAGCCTGGAACCAGTTTAACCATCTCAGCCTAAGAATGAGTTCTGATAAAAGGACGAACAACTAAGTCCTTCAGGGTACTTCAGAGTTAAAAAATGCTCATGAAATACGTGTGTGGAGTAACCAGGTAGGCAGGTTTTAACGTTGCAAATCTGCAACGCCTGCCTCCAGAGGGTTAGGCTAGTAAAGTCAACAGGTGAGTGTTTACCTGAGGCAGGACTGTGACTCCTGGTCCAATAAGCCGGTGCAGAGTGCCAACCTGAGGTACCGTGATGGGCACGGCAGTGAGGGTTCCTAGCATCTGAAACACAGAAACCAGGCCTTTGAGTGCTGTGGACTGTTGCTTCAATCAATCAATCAATGAAATTGTATTTGTATAGTGCCTTCCACAACCTAACTGAAGCCCAAGGTGCTGAACATGGACCTTCTAAGAATTAAAACAGCATAAGTACAATAAATGTAAGAGCTTTAAAAGTGACACAAACAAAAACCAATAAAAAATAAGTACGTGTCAACGACCATGTTGGGGGGGAGCTAACAAGTCATATTGGGTTTTCAAGTGGGACACCTGAGGAGATAGAGCCAGCTTTACTGCCAGAGGGAGCCTGTTCCAAAGGGCTGGTGCAATGACCGAGAAGGGCCGGTCCCCCCTCAATCTCAGTTTAAACCGTGGGATGTCCAGCAACTCCTGCCCAGCAGAGTGAAGGGCCCAAGGGTGGACACACCTGTGTAGTAATGCTGCCAGATATGGCCGAGCACTGCCCTGCAAAGCCCTATACACATACAGAACTATCTTAAATCTCACCCAATAATACACGAGAGCCAGTGCAGCGAAGCTAGCACGGGGTAGTGTGATCTCTCCTTCCAGTCCCAGTCAGGAAACTAGATGGAGCGGTGTAATTACAGCCTGACTCAGTCCAGCATATAATGATATGCAATAACTGAGATGGCACACGATAAAAGCAAGAAAACTGCAAAACTGTCTGCTAACGGGCTCTCAACACCAGGGATTCATTTGCTTTAGGTACATCGGGTTCTGGGTCACATACATATATATATGTATATATGAAAGGAGCACCAGTGACCAATTGGGCTGCTGAGTGATAAATCAGGTTTCCTACAGGTTTCATCGAGTTAAATTCAAGACTTTTGAAGACCTTTTCAATAACACTTGTATGAAAAATTAAAACCTATTTCACAGCCCTACCAGCAAAAAAAATCCTTGAATTTGTGTTCACATAGTTATCTTTGTTATTATAGTTTGCCAAAAGACTTGGTAGAGAACAGTAGCAGAGCGGTTTGAGCTTTCACAGAAAGGGTTGCTATGGTAACCTAAAATATGACAGCGTCAGTAGGGCTGGATACCAGTACATATCTCTGATAGTACTACTTTAACGATAGTGGTGCCTTAAAGAACAAGATACCCCCTACCAGAGTCTTACTCCACTCCCACTTCCTCTTTTGAAAAATGAATCAAATGCTGTTGTCTGGCAGACCGAGAGGGTAGAGCCGCTAACAAACACACACAGACTCACAACAACATTGTGACATCATAATGTACCAGCTGACATCATAGTGTACCTCTTAGCCAACAGCGATAGTGTAAGGTTATGAAGTTCATTATTTTCAGCTCCACACAGCTGCCCCTGTGCACAGTAACACCCGTGTAGAAAACGCCAAGGTCGGGTGTTCCTCAGACTGTTTACATTCCAGGGGAAGAGCCAGAAGGAGAAGAAGAACGCTTTTCAATAATCAAAGTACTTAATTTGTGATTAAAGCTAGTCGAACCAGATGTTGATCAATAATAATCAAGTGAATGATCTGTGGAATAAAGATGTCATGATTTATGTGTTTAATGAAAACAGGACTACTGCACAGACAGACTGACCCTCATCTCCATAGAAACGCATGACACATTGTTCCAACCAATCAGAGCTTTCGGCTGCCGCAGGAGAATCTGGCTTGTTGACTTAAAGTGTCCAACCCGCTTTACTAAAACTTATCAACAATTCAGAGATATAAAACAAGGCAACGCCATTTTAAGCTCAGTTCCATTTTGACTTCAGTTCTAGTCACCGTCGTCCCAAAGAGAAGCACAGCCTGGCCAGATGTGTTTTCTTCTTTAAACTAAGAACTGTGAAGTTGGAGATTTTCGTCGTTTAACAACCAGACGACATCCTTTCAAAATAAGAGCACCTGCTGACGCTGCCGATGGTTACCTGGGTCGACCCTTCAGACAGCTTTGAAACGCTGCGACCGCTGCTCCGACAGCTCCAGTACACATCCGAGGTTTCCAGACCTGGCATTTCCTGATCTACCTGGGAGACCCCCCACTGGGTACGTACACGGCAAAATAGCAGCTCATGTCATCACTTTATAAGCCTCGTGATATCTAGTCATAACAAAGACTACCAGATTCAATGGCGTCAGCCTAAGGAGTCTGAACCAACCACACACACACACACACACCAACACAACATCCAAATCCATTTTCATCCATCACAGAGTTAGTCCTGGTAGATTGTTAAGAATTTATAATTAAGAAATTAAAGATTCTTAAACGATCCCAACTCTCTCTCTTTTCTTGTCTCAAAGTCAATACAGAGTGTTTAATTAAACTCCCTGATGATAAAAACAGCCCATCTTCTGATTATAACAAGTGATCTACTTACAGTGTATTAAAATACAACTCTAGATAGTTACATCACTCTATTTTCGTTACAATAGCATATTTCAATTCAAATGAAGTGCAGTTTTTACCTGAAGATGGCGCAAGACTGACAGTTTTAAGCAGAATCTTTAAATTTGAACTAAGATGCACTAAAGTGCCAAATAATTGACTACACATGTCTACAGCATAATTAGACACTCATTTATATTGTTTATCAGCAAACAAATTTGATTTTGGAGTGACTTGCTCTTTAGACACTTTTGTTTATCTATATTTTTATTTAAGAGAGGATAATAAACTACATAAAAGTTTTCTTCTTATTGTTTATTATTTTATTATATTTATATAGTAAGACAAAGGAAATGATGATTGACTTCCAGAGAAACACTCCTCCTCACTCACCAGTAAACATCCAGGGAGCAGACATTAAGGTAGTGGATACCTTTAAGTACCTGGGTGTTCACCTCAACAGCAAACTGAACTGGTCCAATAACACAGGTGTTCTGTATAAGAAGGACCAAGGCCGCCTCCACCTCCTGAGGAGGCTGAGGTCCTTCAGAGTTAATTCAGCTGCTAAACTCCTATCACTCTGTGGTTGGCTCTGTTATGCACTCTGATGGTCTGTTGGGGTGCAGGAAGCTCTGGCCAACACAGGAAGAGACTGAACAAGCTAGTTCACACAGCTAGCTCGGTTCTGAGCTGCCCACTGGATTCAGTGGAGGAGACGTGTGAAAGGAGGATGCTGGGGAAGATGGCCTCCATCTTAAAAAGCCCCTCCCACCCACTGCATCCCACAGTGGAGACCATGGACAGCTCCTCCAGAGGCAGACTGACATTCCAGATGTAAAACAGAACACTACCGTAGGTCCTTCATCCCCTCCTCAGTAAGAGTGTAGAACTCCTCAGTTTAACTGGTACTGGCATTATCCTGGTACACAATACCGCCAATGCAATACTCTGTATGTGTTCAATAACAGATTTACATAGTTTGTCCCTGTCTCTTGCAGTATGCTGCATAGTGTTGGAACCCAAGTTTTTTTTCCATTTTATTGATGGACTTTAGTGGTCGACGGTTACAACTCTAGTATACTGATGAGAATTAAAAAGAGAGATCATATCTCTCCTGTCTTATCTTCCCTACATTGGCTACCTGTTAAATTCAGAATAGATTTTAAGATCCTTCTTCTCACATATAAAGCTCTTAATAATCAAGCTCCATCATACATCAGGAATCTGATTGTTCCATACGTTCCTAACCCTTTTAATGATCCTTGTGTTGTCCCAGTCAATTTTTTATTTGCCCTTGTACAGTGGTCTGTTACAGCTGATTTCTTTATAATAATTTTTGCTTCTTGTTTGGCTGCTCTTGTGTGTCTTCGACTTGTTTCCCTCTAGCTGTTTTTATAGGACCATAGCGTTTGCAAAACGGAATTTGCCGTGGCTCCCTGGAGAGGATTTCGGCATTTACAGTAGCAAAGCTGAAGCTAGAATAGACTGCCATCAGGCACCTCTCAAACCAAGACGGTATAAAGGGAGGTCGCTGGGCATGCATGGGATACAAGATGACTTTATATCTTTATATCGATATAACTGGTCACACTGCTATGCTAGTGTTTAGCCGCTATGCAAGAAACATCAGAATAAGCTTTATTGTCAGCGCTCCAGCGACCCAGAGCATAGGAACTTGACTCCGCAAACACAACCTGACCAAGGTAAAACACACACACATGTAGACAAAACAGGTACAGGCAGTCCACGAGAGCAGCCAGAACGGCGCTCATTTCATTAGATGAAAAGGGTGTTACATGAGGATAGTTGGGGTAAGGTAAAAAAAGGCATAACAGAGTTAGTCCCAGCAGGGAGTAGCTCTACTATACAAAAAACTCCTCAACATAGAAGCACGAACATCAGTTACAAAACATCAGACTCCGATAGGGAGGCGGGGGGGGGGGGGGGGGGGGGGGGGGGGGATCCTGAATCCTCCAACGGGAGCTGCCAGTGTACGGCGCTCACAGCTGCAGACAAACAGGTGGGAGGGAGAGACGAGGGCCAGAGAGCACATTGAGTTCCTGCAGGTTGATGACCTCGAAGCAGAAGTCACCATCTGAAGGCAGGGGGGGAAGGTCGGGCCATAGCATCTGTCTACATTCCTCCTACCCTAACCCTAACCAGATATCCTCCCACTCCAATCAGAAGAAATCCAGTGATCATCAGGCCGAATATCCACAAATCTTCCACGTCCTCGATGGACAACTGAGAGAGGCACACAATTCGCCAGACCTCCCAAGAATCGAGTGCATATCCCACTGCGTATGTCCCTTGAGGACAGGTGGGAGCCCCCTTCTCCGTTCTCATTGTAGAAAAAATCTTATCAATCGCGTTGAATGACCAGTTAATTAAGTCAATTTTCCAAAAAGAAGTAGTGATTTTCAGGAGAAATGCAGAGAAGTGCTCTGTAGGCATGTTGCTCAATCTCTAAGCGGCTAAGTTTGCTCAATCTGAGAGCCTCTGGGTAAATGTGCTGCTCTAAACTTTGCATTTGGCATCCTGGTTTTTAATTATTTGGGGATTGTCACACCCTGTCCTGTCTCCCCGTTTGGTTCAGCCTTGTGTCTCGTTAATTACTCCCA